CTGAAGGGTTATAATCATTGTTCTTTTATGGCACATTTGGGCTGTTTTGAATTTTTCATTATTATAAATTAATGTTTTCTTGTACATTACTTTTTTCTTGGAGGTAATTTCTTCTTTAGGATAAATTTCTAGGAGTGATATTGCTGGGTAAAATAGTATAAATATTTTAATGTCTCTTAAGGTATATTGCCAAATTGCTTTCCAAAACAGTTGTACCAATTTATAATGATATAAGAAGTGTTTGTAATAGTTTTACCATTTCCTCCACAGCAAAAAGTATACAGGCAGTGCCTGGATTATGAATGAGTTCCATTCCTAAGTCTGTCTTTAAGTCAAATTTGGTTGTGGTATCCAACATCAGTTAGTCAAATGTTTCTCTTATTATATAGTATATAGTTTACCTTTCTGTGCATAAAAACTATCAAAGACACACTTCCACATACACTAAAACATCTTTAAAATAATAACACAGTAAATAATAATAATAATGTCTTGATGCACATTTCACAAGTAGCAACTGTTTGTTATTATGAACCATTGTATGTATCTTGAATTTTTAATATAATAGGCTGTATGGGGTTGGTTTGTGACTACAGCAATGACAAGTTGTACTTAAGTTGGGTGTTCGTAATCTGGGGACTGCCTATAATCATTATATAAATTTTATCTAATTTATCAGGTCTGAGATGGTACCTCATTATCTGTACTGACTTTTCTCTTCTTAATTATATCTCTTTTGCTTTCTATTGCTCTTCTGGGTTGTGATTATGTGTTTTTGTTTTTTCTTCTCAGAAAGAAAAACTCCGTTTTGTCCCCCTGCACTGTTGAACTGGAAGGTGACCCAGCAGAAAGTTCCCTGGGGCATTGTGCTCCTGCTGGGGGGTGGATTTGCTCTGGCGAAAGGATGCGAGGTAATGTCTCCAGTCCTGGTCCCATAGCCCCTTCTTTTACCCAGAGAATAGCTTCGTTCTTCCACTCCTCCACCTCTGGGCTGTGCTTGTGTGTTTCTGTGTCTGTCTCCTTCTCATAACTGCACATTCTTTGAGGACAAGGATTCTGTCTTGTAACCCAAGAACACTGCACCAAGAATAGCCCAGAGGATACCGTCAGATCCTGTTTGGGGTTTGGTATGGAGTTTCGTCTTTGTCTGCATGGGCAATAATAATCTCTGCTCATTTCTCCTAGGCAAATCTTTCTTTCAAGTCCTTGTGAATATTTTCACCATTATCTTTGGTTCTTCTTCTTGCTGAACTGTTGATATGGTTACCATTTTTCAATTTTCCTCTAGCTAAGTAAATAGTAGCATAAGAAGAGAGGAATAGCTTTTTTTTTGGCACGGGGGGTGGGGTGGAGAACAAAACCACCTAACTTACTTTACCCCCAGGTAGGAATGAGCCAGAGGGAGGGATGAGGCAGCCTGGTGCTACTATCATCCATTCATCCATCCGTGTATTCATCCAGGAATGGAACATAATAGATAAACTTGGTCTGTCTTGCTATTGCTGTGTCCTCAACATCTAGTCCAGAGCCTGGTAGATAGTTGGCACATAAATATTTTTGGATGAACAAATCTTTCCATTTAGTCACCTCTCTATTCATCCACCTTCCATTCATTCATTCCTTTATCAAACATTCCTATTATGTCCTTAGTGTTAAGCCAGACACAGGGATTACAGAGGTATTGACATACAGCTCTTATTCTTGAGGACTTAGGGAGGGAGGCATTTTAGGAAGAAGTGACGCATGAGCAAAGGAAAAAGCATAATGTGTGTAGCTCAGTGACAGTGAAGATGAGGCTGGTGAGGCCAGCAGAAGCCACTTCACTGCAGACCTTGGGTTCAAGATAGAGAGGATGGGCTTTATTATGAAGGTAGTGGATAGCCACAGAAGAGTTGAGGCCAGGGAATGACTTGGTAAGGTCTGCACTTGAGAAAGATCACTCTGACAGTTTGAGTGGAGGTCTGGGCTGGGGACGGGTTGAAGCAGAAGCAGTAGACATTGTATAGTCATAATCTAACTCAGTCTCAAAACATTTGACTCCATGGACCATTCTCTCTTTCTCTCCTACTTTCCCTCTTCCTTAGTTCACCAAGATACAAATTTCTCCTGGTTTCCTTTTGACTTCTCCTGCACAATCTCCTTTGCTGACTTTTTCTCTGTTCCTCCTTAAATATGAGTGTCTTCAAAGCTCTGTCCTTGGCCTCTTTTCTGGTCACCTTTCATTCTCTCCTTGGAAAATCTCTTCTCAGAACCTAAATCCCGAATTTCTGGCCCAGATCACTCTCCTGAGCTTCAGAAACTATAGGGCTAAAAGGAGATAGACATGAGATGTTTTGGGCAAATCAGTGATGAGTGGGTACAAGGAGTGAGAGGGACAGAAACCCCTGGCATGACTCTCAGCCTTCAGGCTTGGACAGAGGTGGATGGTAAATCCATTCACCAAAGTGGGGAGACCAAGTGGAGAAGAAGATTCTGGGCTAGAGAGAATGAATTCAGGTTGGGACATAGTGAGTCTGATAGGCTCATGGAAGATGTGGGTGGAAATTTCTAGAAAGCATATGTTTAAACCTGAAAAGTGGACCCAATGAGTTAGAAACAGATTTAGGAGACAGCAGAATAAAGATGGAGGCTGAAATTGTGGGGATGGATGAGATCCCAGATGAAACACATGCAGGGAAAGCATTAGAAGTGGAGGATGGGCTCTCCTTGAAGATCAATGAGGCCCTGGAGTAAGTGTAAGCCATTAGCCCCAAGTGACTCCCCTCCCCATGTTTCCCAGGCCTCGGGGCTGTCTGAGTGGATGGCGGATCAGATGGTACCCTTGCAGGCAGTGCCCCCAACAGCCATCACTTTGATCTTATCCTTGCTTGTTGCCGCGTTCACTGAGTTTACAAGCAATGTGGCCACCACCACCCTGTTCCTGCCCATCTTTGCCTCCATGGTAAGTAATTCTTCTGGGGACTTGGGGAGGATCCTTAGGCATCATTTCACAGGTAACTGTCATCCTGTGGAAATGTCCTGCATCCCTAGAGAGGCAGTGAAATCAGGCACCAGAGTTCAGCTAGGCTTTGGAGACTTGGGCCTGGCCTGCCACAGACTGTGTGCCCTTGATGACACTGGTCCTGTCTTCAGTTCTTCGCTGGTGCTTCTTTGTATCTCCCCCATGCTAACCAAAGCATCAGACATGGATCAGGTGCTCACACTTTATTTTATAAATGTAATTGGATTGTTTTTCAAGCTAGGGAGACAAGATTTGTGCCAAGGAGGAGCAGGACAACGATCTGGGGAAATGACAGTGGGTGTCTCAGGATGTGAGCACAGGTATGCATGAGGACTGAAGAGCAGGAGGAGCACTGCTGGCTGGGACCTACAAGGAAGAGGTCTTAGAGAAACGGCTTGTAAATGGGTGGACAGCAGAAGGCATTCTGGGAAGATGGAGCAGACCAACTGAAAGAAATTGAGTCCATGATTGAGGATCCCAGAAGTTTTGCTTGGCAAGCACAGGGTTCCATTAGAGGATCCTCAGGAAATGAGGGTGAGAGGTGGCTGGTGAGAGTGAAGGGGTATCACTGAGTGCCAGGATAAAGAGTTTTATTCCAGAGGTAAGCATGTTTTGGGGATTGAGAAGAAAGCAGAGCATGGAGGAAAAATTGGTTGTGATCTTTCCTGCATTTCCTTGTGGCATTCATCACCTAGAAGTACTGACCTCAAAGTAGCACAGAAAGAGTCAGAAGACTTAACTCATTGAACTTGCCACTTAAGTGACAAACTAGCAAGACCACTGAAGACAGGCAGGTTGAGAGGTAGTTTATAGAATCTCCCACCATTCTAAAAGGAACATCCCCCAGCATTGTGCTGAGGGCCAAATAAGATAATGGCTATGAAAATCCTTTGTAAGCTTCAAAAAAAGCATGGGAGAGGTCATTGCTCTTATTCTGGAGTTTGGAGACAGACTTATAAGGGGCCTGAACACAGGATTTCACTTGGTAAATTTCCATTCCGCTGCCTGGATATCCACATGTATGAAAAACAAACCCAAGTAGAAAGGTTCCAAGGAAAGATGAAAGTGTTAAAAATAGCAAGGTGGCTCAGTCTCCTCTCCTGAGCAGGTGCCCAACTGATGCCCAACCGAGGGGCCTCTTTTGATGCTGGGCATGCAGTGGTGACACCTCCTCTTCCCTTGCAAAGGCCCCACTTTGTCACCTCCAGCCCTAGCAGTGAACATCAATTCTCTAAGCTAGACAAATCTAGGCTTTACCCCAAGGGAGGGAGTCTGTGGGTGGTTCAAATGGTTGAGCATTCATCTATTCTCCAAACACTTGGCAGTTTGAACCAATCCAGAGGTACCTCAGAAGACAGCCCAGATATCTACTGCTGGAAGGTCACTGCCTTGAAAACCCCATGGGGCAGTTCTACTCCGCACATATGGATCGCCATGAGTCAGAACTGACTCAAGGACAACAAGTCTGTTGTTGTTGTTTATAGAAAAGGAGTAGCCAGGCCTTTTGAAAACAAGCTGTTCTAGAACCCAAACCTCAAGTAAGTATCCCCACAGCTACCTCCAATGCCCCTCATGCTCCTTCCTCAGCACCTATGAGAAAGGAAAAGGTGGTGGTCACTCAGGTGACTCCAGAGGAACGTGGGTCACGTACCCCATGTGTGTCACCCATGACCAGGATGAGGTGGAGGTGGAGGTTGGGGAGGGGGATCAAGAGACAGACTGGGCACCTGCCTGGGACAGCTTGCTTACATCCCAGCATAACTTGGTGCAATCTTTTCAGGTGGCTGTTTAGCAGCAGAAACCATAACCTTAAACCTGCTCATATCCTTCAACTCAATAGCTTCATGTTTAGGTATATATCTTAAGGACATAATCAAGGTATAGTGTTGTTGTTATATGCCATCGAGTCAACCTGACTCATAGCAACCCCTCCTTGGGTTTCCGAGGTGGTATCACTATGGAAGTAGATTGCCTAGCCTTCCTTCCGAGGAGTGGCTGGTGGGTGTGAACCTCTAGCCTTCTGGTTAGCAGTCAAGTGCCTTAGGCACTATGCTACAGAGCTCCTAGGGTATAGTGAGAAATAGGTATATTATAATTATATACATTGCAGATTAGTTTTAATAAAAATTATAATGGGGGTTGGTGAAATAAATTATCATATATATTCATATAATGTAACACTATCAAACCATTAAAAAATCACAGTTTTGAAGAAATTTTAATAAAATGCCAATATATTCATGGTATAATTTTTTAAAGTTGAAGATGTAACACGTATACATGGTTAAAAATGTCTAATAATACAAATGAATATATAGACCCTAATCTCTTAGCCTCTTACCTATAGACAACCTTTGTTTTTAATTTCTTACATATCTTTCCAGATATATTATACATATGCAAAATCTTTTAAAACAAATTGTATCATTCTATTATCCTGTTCTTCACCTTAATTTTTTAAATCTAATCATAGATCTTGGAGATCTGTTCCATACTAGCACATAAGATTTATCTCATTCTTCTTTACAGCTGCATAATATTCCATTGTTTGTACATACCATACTTTATTTAACCATCCTGTTTTTGATGGCTATTGAGTCCACTTCCTGTGGTTTGCTGTTACAATGTTATGTGTTACATGCATGTCTGTGCTCATATGCTGTTGTTTGACTAGAAGCCATGGGAGTGAGTTCAATTCCAGATCTGAAGGGTAACTAGGGGCCAGAGTCTTGGGGATCTCACCAGGCTCTATCAGACCATAAACCTGTTTTTTGTTGGTTTTCTTTCTTAAATTTTTTAATTTTGAGTTTTGTTCCACATTGTTCTCCCCATTCTATCCAGGATCTTCATTCAACAAATATTTAATGAGTACCTACCATGCACAAGGCACTGTTAGATGTGGCTGAATTTTAAAATGAAGAGTAAAAAAGTGGTACAAAATTCCATATGCCAACTCATCCCAAAAGTTTTTAAAGACATATACATACATAGATGCATGCATAGATGAGAAGGCATGGTCCACATTCTGAGACTTTGACAGGACAGACGGACATGTGCACTTGGCCTCTAAAATGAGGCTGAGCATGTGAGCTGTGGGCACACTGGGAGATTCAATGCAGGCTAAGTGCCCAGCAGAGTCTCTGTCACATGTTGTCTCATGGCGACCCCAAGCACAAAGGGATCAGACTTTGGGATCCATCGGAAGTAGATCACCAGACCTTTCTTCTTGGTCCATCTTAGTCTGGAAGCGCCACTGAAACCTGTTCAGCCTGATAGCAACATGCTGGCTTTCACTGACAGAGAGGTGACAGCTGTCCATGAAGTACATTGGCTGGAAATCAGTGTTTAAGAAATATGTGTTGAATCCACTGAGGGAGTTCAGAAGGGCCTCCCAGAGGAGGTGACTTCTGAGTTCAACTTTGAGTGTTTAGTAGAGTTATCTGCCAGAGATGTGGTATAGGGGAAAAAACCCAGCAAGACAAAAGCCCAAAGGTGGGAGGGTGTGTGGTGCACCTGGAGATGCTTTTCAGAATGATGGTCTATATTTTCTGTATCTGTGACATTGCAGTGCTGTCTTTTTCCCTAGGCATGCTCCATTGGCCTCAATCCGCTATACGTCATGCTCCCCTGTACCCTGAGTGCATCCTTTGCCTTCATGTTGCCTGTGGCCACTCCACCTAACGCCATTGTGTTTGCCCATGGACGCCTCAAGGTTTCTGACATGGTAACCCAACTGCTTTTATTTCTTCCTGTCAGACTATGATATTTTTGTCATAAAAAATGCTCAGTTTATTAATGATGTTTGAATTTCAAATGCCATAAGATTTGGGAATGATATTGACTGCCCAAACCTCTCGTCATTCTTTGCATTTATAATGCAGGTTTTCTTCTTTATCCCCTAGAACAGACTGTTCTGCACCCCAAGGCTAAGCAGTGGTTTGTAGAATTTCCTACCTGGAGAAGCCCATGCGTCCACCAGGGGTGGGCATGGGAAGATCACATGGTCAAGGATACTCTTCACAAACTAGCAAGAACCAGAGAGAAGAGTCAGCAGTATTGAAGCTTACATTGGGGAAAAATGCTATTGACAGTTGCAGAGACCTGTAGAGGTTCCTGAAGAGGTCAGAGCAAAGAGGGACAGAGAAAGAGACCCAGTCACTGCATGGGAAAGGATAATGCCTTGGAAATAGATGCAGCCACTGGAAGAACTCTTCATGCGTAGTTTGGTTTTATCGCCTCTAACAGGAGAAGGAAGGGGTAGCTTTGCAGCTCTAGGTAGGAGATAAGACAAGTGTGCAAGCCCAGGAGGTCAGAGCCCCCACTGAGAATCTTTGAGACTCCATGGAGGATCTCCATGAAGAGGGAAATGGTGGATTCTAGAAACCATGGACTGCAAACTTGATTCCAATCTCCAGTAACAAATCTCCAACATATGTTCAAAGTAATGGTCAATAAAAATTAAGAAAGAACACAGCAGGTATCACAAAGAGCCAGTGACAGGCAGAGCTGAAGCTCAAGGCTGAGGGGCTTTCACCCAGCCCCTAGAGCCTGGCACTTTGAACTTGGGCTTAAAGCCTCCAAATTGTAAGAGAAGAAACTCCTGTTTGTTCAAGTCAAAAATAAAAAAAAAAAAGAAGAAGAAAAAGAAAGAGCCAGTGACAGTTCACAAGGAATCTGGTGGGTGCTCAGGGGAAGGTTAAAGCTATGGGTGAGCCCTGGACTTAGAGTCAGACTCCAAACAATGGCATTGATGGTCTGAGGCTGCCTCTTCACCTCATCTCTTGAGGCTTAGTTTTCCAAATGCCAAAATGGGCGTAGGGAAGCCATCTGTCCTGCCTATCCCCTTGGGCTTCTCTGAGGACTGACTAACACTTAGTGGGCACAGTGTTGCTTTGTCGGGGGAGGGAGGGCGAACAGAGAGCGTGAACTGGGGAAGCTAGTCCTTCATCTCCTGCCCCAAGAAGCCTGGTTCCCAGTGTCCTTTCTGTCCATATTACACAGCCCAAGCTGACCCAAGGGTGCTGACTCGAACTCTTGTTTTTGTCCAGGTGAAAACAGGACTAATGATGAACATCATTGGAATCTTATGCGTGTTTTTGGCTGTCAACACCTGGGGAAGGGTCATATTTGACTTGGATCATTTCCCTCACTGGGCTAATGTGACATGTATGAAGACTTAGAGCCACAAGACCCATGGACCCAGCCCCCACTCTCCTGAGGACTCCTGAACTTCCTGGCACACCTTGCAGCAGGGCTTTGCTGTTTCCCCAATGATGCCCACATCCTGCCAAGATCCAGAGCCACCTTATTCTCCAAGCCCAGACTTTGGCTTGGATGTCGAAGAGAGCCCCTGAGCAGGCTGCTGGTTCCCATCTTTCCTAGGGGCTCTGCCATTATGTCTGGGGACAGGCTGCAGAGGGACTCAACCTCCAGTAGCCACCACTCTGGCCTAACACAAGGCTCTGGTTTGGCTCTGATTTCCACTTCCTTAGTTGCAGGGTATCTAGATGGAAACCAGATCCCCAGGGAGGTGAGAAAACAAACTTTGAGTGCCCATACCTCTTCCAGCTCCCCTTGGGCTGCCTAGGATCATCTGTCACTCTGAATGGGACAACCAAGCCCAGGGACAGAACACTGGGTCTTGGGCAGCTTCCCACTGCTAGAGAGTGGGAATCAGAGCATCCCTGGAGCCTCCCGGAACTGCACGTAGGGTACCAGCCCAGAGGATGAGGAATTTGAGTTGATAACCTCAGGATAACTCCTGCCTTCCTGCCTGCAGGGCGCTATTGGCTACCTTGCTTCCTTTTACCTCATTCCTTTTTAATTGACAATTTGGACTCCAGTGGTCCTTCAACCCCTAGGCTCCTTGGTTGTCTGGGCCAACATTTTCTAAAGTCCACTGGCTGGGGTCCTCCACACCCCCTTTTCTCCCAGGTAGATCAGTTTGGCTCTCCTGGAAGAGGCTTTTCCTGCCATCCCCACACAGCTGGGATCACACTCCAAGTTTGGAAAGTGATGGCTCTTTCGGGGCCACAGTAGGGAATCTAGGTCCTTTCTTATATGTAGCATAGATAGCTGTTAAATGCCAATAACAAGGTCACTTCAGAGTTGTCCATCATGCCAGAGGGTGAGCTCGGAGGAAGCCATCCCTTTGCTGAGTGGCCTTGGCAACCATACCTGAGGGCTCACTGGTGAATGGGCAGTGCTGGTGGTCCCCAAGCAGACATCCCCTAGCCTAGGGATGAGGGAACCCACCTCGTATTATTGGGGCAAAGACTCTAGAGGGGCTGCAGAAAGATGAGCCTCCAAAACCTCCACGAGAGTGAGAGGCAGTCAGCCTCCAGCTCTGTTTTCTTCTTGTGCTGCTCTGGAAGAGAGGCAGAGGCACACATATGAAGTCAATTGGTGGCATTTTTTGGGGCAGAAGAAAGTATGGGAACCTAGGGAAACTCCATCAAGAAACAAGTGTGTATCTGGTTTCCTTGAGTAGAATAATTCCTGACCACACCGTCAATGTGTTCTCCTTGTTAAATGCTCTGTCTTCCAAGGAAAGTTGCACTGTGTTGACTCATTTCTGGTTTTTGGCTCTGTGTGTGTGTGTGTGTGTGTACAGGAAGATAGAGGAATGAACTACTTACTATCCTCTGCCTGCTTTCTGTGTGCGAGGCCTTCCCATGGTGAATCCACTAGTTATCTCATTCAGTCATTACAACAACCCTATAATAGACAGATGTTATTACCTTTGTTTGTCTTATGAGGGAACTGAGGCTCAGTGAGGCCAAAAACATATCAAGCTAGTGACAATTAGGGGTCCAACCCATATTTCCAACTCCATCTCTATACCATGTTCTTTCTCTAGCCTTTGGGTTTGTAGGGCTTATGGCCAAGAGCCAGTCCACCCCAAGGCCCTGCCTGGTCAGGGAAGACCATCAAACATGAGTACCTTTCTATTGCCTCCTCTGAGTTGGGCTCAGAACAGTGTTGGATGAGATAGGGTTAGTCCTTGCCCTGAGAAGCTGAGTTTGGTTGGGGATAGAAGTATGAAAATGCCTACCTCTTCCCCTAACCAAGGTAGAACAGATATCTGGCTTCCACCTTATCCACCCCTTTATCACTACTCTCCACATGGCTGCTGTTGACTGAGGGCTCCTGAGGGCTCTGAGTGCTGTCCGGGTCCAGTGCTGACACCGTAACTTAGCCAGAGCAGGCCACTATAGATGTGATTTATCAGTGTAGTCAATTGTGTGCACATGGGAGATCTTGGGCAAGGCCAGTAAATGTCTAGACTGATGAAAAAGTAGCTTGAAAAAATGGTAGACTGAGACTGCTAATTTTTTTTTTTTACATTAGTTTTTACTTTGAGCTAACTAGTCACTTTGCTGCCCTTTGAAAACACAGACTAGTGATTCTCAACCATGACTGCAAAATATATTCACTTGAAGACTTTGAAAAGCTACTCATGCCTGGGTCTCACCACCAGAAATTCTGGTTTAGTTGGTCTGGAGAGTAGCCTGGGCTGCTGATTCCAACATGTAGCCAAGGTTGAGAACTAACTTAATTCATTGTTATGAGGCCTGAGACTGGTGTGGGTTTGTATGGAATTTCAGGGTACCACAAATAGTAGTAAGAATATGGTTTATTAGACTAATGCAAAGTAAGCATTGATGGATGAATGGGACTGATCAGGTCTAAGTGGGGAGGCTATGGCGGGGTGGGTGAAAGACCCTAATAGATGTTACATGGTTGACAACTGACAAAAAATTTTGGTTGCAGGCTTCAGGAGAATAGAACTCATGGCTAAGGAGGCTGACCAAAGGCTATTTCTAAAGACCTTCTCTAGTTGACTAGAGGTGGTTACAGAAATGTTTATGCCCTGTGCCAATTAGGATGCTTTTGGCTGCAAGTAATAGAAAACATGGCTAACAGTGGCTTAAATCATAAAGTCATTTAATGTTTACTTAACCAGAAGTCTAGAGCTAGAAAGTTGCTGTCACTGGTCTAGCAGCTCATTTAGGCCACCAAAGACTGGCTCTGCTATCCACTCTGCCATCCTAAGGACACTGTGCTTTTATCCTCATGCTGCATACACGTCTGTATTCAAAGCAAGAAGGTCCAGGCAAAGGGTGTGGGGGATAATGGGACCAACTACATCTTCCCCTTTTATCAGGAAAGCAAAAGCTTTCCCAGAAGCCCCTAAGAGACTTCCATTAGTGCCTTACTGGCCAGAACTGGGTCACATGTCCACGCTTAGACCAATCATTGATAAAGGGGTATTGGACTAGTTTGAACCAATTAGGACTCAACCCTTGGGGTTGGCCTACCTCTCCTGAAATCAAGAACTTTCATCTCACTACAAAATGTGTGCTCTGGCAGGAAAAAGAGAGGAAACTGATGAGTAGGTGATGAACAGTGTGTAATATCGTTACCCTTTTTGAGAGCTGCCCCACTTCCATCTCCTTGAGAGGCTCTCTTTCCATGGAAAATTCAGTAGAAACATGTTCCTAGGTAGCAAGAGAGCACATGGTTGTCTGGTCAAGGGCTTCAGCTCCCTGAGTCCACTGCCTCCAACTCTCAAAAGCCTGGCCTCCTCCAGGAGGCCCATTGGGTGGAAATAGAGACTGAAAGACTAGAGTTGGAGTCAAGGTGCAAGTTTGGTCTTGATAACCTGACACTTGTGTTCTCCTTGTTAAATGCTCTGTCTTCCAAGGAAGACACTGTACAAGTCATTCCATTCTCTGGGCCTCAGTTTGCATTGTGAAGGGGCTGGACTAGAGCGTGTCTAAGGCCCTCTCCCCAGAGTCATAGATCCCCTTATCCCAAGTGACCCTTGCTCTTCCTGGACCAGATTCTGTCCCCACTCCCCACCCCCATGTTAGCTCAGAGCTTATTACAGAGGCCCACTCCCTGGCCCCCATCCAGGTCTTAGCCATTTGCTGCAGGCCATTTCAGACCTTTTCCCCACCCACATTTTGCCTCTTATGTGTAGAGGTTCTATCTAAGACCCTTGCTTTCTCTCTTCTTAATATGTGGATCAGACATTTGGGCCAAGGTTAGCTGAACACATAATTCTGACAAGGGCTACTCTCTTAAATTTTTGCCAACAAATTATGACTCTACAAGGATCCTATGTATTCCAAAGGTCAGGATGCTGGTCTCCTTATCTGCTGACCCCTGGATTGGGAGCTCCTGAGGGCAGGCCACAAGTCTCTTTCCCGGTCCATCCCCAGCTGAGAGCTTCCTTACAGAAGAACCTGGACCTTCTCCTCCAGCAGAGCCAGTGAGCAGGGCATCTCCCTGAGGCAGGTGAAGTCTTCTCTCCTCACCACAGTTTCTCACAATTAGCAAAAATAATAGATAATGAGATTTTTGCTCTAAACTGAGCAGGAATCAGCTCCCTGGCACTAAATCCAATCCTTGAAATGAATGAGGACATTCATAACTAAGACCCTGGATGCATTTTCTTGCTTGTGGAAATCAAGACCAAATGCTGGATTGTCTGGTTAAATTGACACCTGGAAGTCCTATTCTTAGCCCAGAACCTTCTTCCAGGTTCTCCATCCCTCTAATCCCACAGCCTCTGAAAAGCTTTGTTTCCCAGTACACCAGGGAAACTTCTTATTGATTCTCATTGGGGGAAAAAAAAAATCCATCAAGATAAACTTTGTCCACCATAGGGTGGCCTTTACATAAAAACCTTATCATTTCAAGTTGAAATCCTTGCAATTGGAGGGATATTCAGCTTATTTCACTTGGTGTCCTGAACCAGGACTCAGGTACCACTTCCCTGCCCCAGGAAAGTTTTCCAAGGGCTTCCTGACCTCCTTGTGCAAATGCCTTCTTCCACACAGTCCATGGCTAGGAGGGTTAGAACAGCATTTATGCTGTTCAAGCTATCAAAGGGAGAAATATTAAAATTCAATCTCAGAACATCCTATTATCCAATCAAGCAATTTTAACTAGTCTTTATATTAAAAATTTATCATGAATGGAGTAAAAGACATTCAACAGTACAAAGGTGCCAAGTGAGAAGTTTCTCTGCAAACTCAGATCTTACTCCCCCATCCTCTCCTTAAAGGCAACTGCTGGTAATAGTTTCTTACACATCCTTCCCGAAATGGTACACGTGTATAAGCTTACGTAATAGATACAGAGTCAATCCTCATTATTCAGATTCTGTGTT